GGAAAGACCCGTGTAATTTTTGGAGGTTTGGAGTGGCGTACCCCGCGCACCCCCATAGTACTAAAATAATAGTCCTTTTTTAAAAAAAACTGATGCTCATCAATATTCTATTCTAATATTTGTTAGACTGATGCCCATGACATTCCTCAGTTCACTATATAAACAATTGTACACTTCGATCTGTTACATATAACTAGAAATTGCATAATGGACTACACGTATCATAACATAAGTACTTGCATATTTGAACACATTGACTAATGTCATTTATAATAATGATACGTTATAATAATGCATACAATATACAAGATATTAGTATTGACTAGCGTTTCCAATCTATTTTATCAAAATTCATATTAATTTGGAGGAATATTAATATTTTAATGACAATTCAAATTTATGATATGAAACACACACATACAAAAAATCGCAAGCATTTTAATCCAATAGAAAAGTGCAATTTCATGACCTCGTGTTGCAACATCTGATTAATGTTCGTGACGTATTATTGTTGTAAAAGATGACTGCAACCACAGAAATGGCATTATACGAATACTACACAAGTTCTTCAGTGGCGGATCCAGACAGTGGCAAAGGGACGCTCACACCCACCTCACCCTGGCAGCAGCTAAAACAAATACCAAATAAAACCAAAGCAGAGATAACAAAAAAAATAATAGCAAATTACAGTAGAAACTTTTCTCATAAACATCATCCTCATTATCATTATAATCATTATCCTTATCAATATAATCTTTATCATTGTAATCCTCATATATCATTAGCATCATCATCATCCTGCCTCGCTCAAAATGTGATAGCTGATGGTATGTGTTTATTTCTAACTTTATTTTCCAACCCAGACTTTAGACTGCGAAAATAAAATACTTAGGCCTATACGGAGAAGACCCGAGTACGTACGAATCCCGGCATTTTCCCTAACGCGGATTTTTTTGTTATCTTTATTGTTTGCGCATACACACAATAGAATTATTTGTTCCTCAGGATCTGGATAAATTAATCCAACAAAAACAGGCTCCTACGTCACGTTAGATAGTTGATGTTTAAATGTTCTTTCGTTATTTGTTTTCCCAAATACAAATTCTGTTTCGCTCCAGCCGCCGTCGTGTCATTTCTTGTTATTTCAATTGGTTTAAAGTAATTTTATCCAATTATCTTTTTCAAGTACCGTACGATCGATTAACAATTTTATAAACATGGCCACTTTATTTTATGAACAATTCATTTGTTGGCGATGACTTGCACGACTATGGAAGTTATACGACACAGGCGATTAGAGTAATTTACAATACGCAGAGAAAGTCGTTAATATTGAATTTTTCTTGTTTCTTATCGTCTGCAAGCACTTTATTTGACTAAGTTTTCACTATTAATTTCCCTAACATCGCCTGTAGGCCTGTTTCACTCTCAAAATGTACATGATATAAATACTATTTACGATGTATATCTCTCTATCTAATGTAATTGAATAGGTCACGTGACAACATTATGACATAATAAATGATCGCAACCTTAAAAATAATACGGATATTACTTTGCACTATGAGCATTCGTTGTTCTCCGCATACACTAACACAATACGCAAAACTACTAAATAGGCCTAATGTTAAAGGTAAACATGAATAATAATAATAATAATAATAATAATAATAGTAATGTACCGGTAATACTTAATTCATTATTTATAATATTATTAATAACGACAACAGCAAAATAATGATAATGACAAAGAACCCGTATTAAAAAACCTTAAATAAAGAGAAAAATCAATAGGTATTTTACAAGTCCTCTACCAGCAACCTTATTATTATTATTATTATTATTATTATTATTATTACTATTATTATTATTATTGTTATTGTTGTTGTTATTAATATTATTATTTATTATTATTATTATAACAAATAACAACATTAAAATTTGAAAAAAACCAATTAATTTAATTAATAAGGTATATATGTATATACATGACATACAAATTTAATCT